AGGGCTGCCTGTGTTTTTGCCTCATGCGAGCATTCACTGATTCATCATTCAGCCTTCCAGGCCCAGGGGCAGGGTGCTATAGACAGATTGCTTTAGAAAATCATATGATTTAAGGAGCGTAAACCTTGTTCAACAAACATTTGCCTTTGCAATTAAACTGTGCAACTGTAGCCTCACATTGACACAGGTATGGGCTCTAATAATAGCAAAAGCAGTTCAGTCCTTTGTTAACAGTCAACAAATAAATGTTTAACCCTCCTCTTGAGGGTCAAAAGGTTATCCGACACTTACTCTTCGCACGTCAGTGGAAAGCATATTTCATGGTCCTTTCAATAAAGCCATAAAAATGTAGGTCACCGCTGAAACAAAAAAGTTTTTCAATCGCTCCGTCAGACCATGTCCTCAGAAAATGTCTAAAATCTGCCCTGTGCCCCATTGACCTTTGACCTGTGACCTCCAATTTCGGCACAATGATGGTTTTCCTACCATGATGCTATACACTGACTATCACGAGTGAATGTTCCCCCTTCTTTTACACCTCTTGACCTTTGACCTTTGACCCCCAGCTTCGACATCCCAACTCGTTTTCGGATTACCCCCCCACGTTCCGAATATCGTGACCGTACGTCGAGCGGTTAAGATTTCTGCCCAACTGTTGACGGACGGACGGACGCACGGACGCACGGACGGACGATCATGCGATTCTACAAGCTGCATCTGACTATGTCAGATGAGCTAAAAATTGATATAATTGCGTAGCTACTATATAATGGTGGCAAGCAAACATCTCTTCTGGTTCTACTCACATATAGACCTTCGTTCCACAACAGGAGTGAACTAGTTGTGGAGCAAAGAGATACACGGTTAGAGCCAATTAAGTTCATTCACCTCATAACTATAACCTCATAAATAATAGTCTTCAAAAGTCCAAGGGACTATAACGAAGATGGAGAGACAAGTTGATCAAATCAACAGATCAACACTGCGGATCGCAGTGGAAAAAGCCGGAAATTTGCAATTTACTAAAGACGAAGGGAGAGAATTCCGATACGGAATGACAGAAATTTATGATAATGTGATTCGATCATGATGACATAATGATTACACTTAGCTCATGCTTCTGTTTTTTATTAGTCATTTCCTGTTCAATGATTAAGCAATTTTAATTTCGCCATGCATCCGTTCAAAAACATAATTACTATATTGTTTATGAACGGATGCATGGCGAAATTAAAATTGCCTAATGTAATGAGTAATACTAATAGTATTACTATTAGTATTACTGCATGAGTATTAGTCTTCAAAGTCCAAAGGGCTATATAAAAGTTGTCACCACACCGACAGTTGTGGCACCCGAAATACCTTGTCATATATCATGATCAGTCTCTCTGTAGTTTATAATATCACCCCTTACATTTTCGTTTTCGTACTCCGGTACACGGTACAGTGAGTGCAACATTGTAGCCCAAGACTGGACCTACATCCGTGGGCGGAAGCATGAAGAAGGAAACCAAAAATTAATAATAAATATATGCTACAGTTCTCAAACTTACCTGTCGCTGCAGACCTAGACCGACTATTCTTCTTGTCCCACCAAGTATAGCCATCTTTCTCATCCATAACGATGCAATGCAAATCAAGTTATATCAAAATAAAGTTAACTACAATGACCAATTTCGAGGTAACCGATGTCGATTGTGATCTATGGTCGTGATGGTAAACTGTCACTGACACTGATGACGTGACGATGACGTCAGACTCACAGGCACTTAATCGAACTTTGCTTAACGAATTATGGTAAATAAACACGAAATGTATTAGCTACCAAAGTCTCAATGTTTCTCTACTCTCTTTCGCCTCTGTAATAAATTCTTATCAGTAGATCGTTCTTTATAGTTAGGAGAGCGCCCTAGCACGTAGGGTGCAAAACTCCTACTTTATTCCCGCCCGTCCTTCCCTTTGTCTCCATTGTCGCACGCTCTGTCTCCTTCTCCTTCCATCGCCCTTCGACTGTCTTCCCTGCCACCTTTCCTTCTCAGTTTCCCCAGCAAGCTATATTTACATACTTTTCTTTTGGCCGTACTGCATGTCTGAAATGGTGCTCGCGCATGCGCAATATCTCTCGAGAAGAAGAATATTTTGCAAACATTATAAATTTAAAATAAAGAGGGGTTATCCTAACATAGATTTATGTGATAAAATTTTATCATTAGACCTCATTTCAAAAATAGGAAGCAGACCTTGCATGTCAGGTTCCCGCTGCATATACCAGTCAGTATATAACCTGGCTGCGTTACTGTTCTAGCACATGCGCAATATCTCACCAGAGGAGTTATATTTTGTGATGAAAATTTATTTAATATGCTCAGAGGATATCTCAACATAGGTTTCTGTAATAAATTCTTATCAGTAGCTAGGCTTGTGTTTATAGTTAGGAGAGCGCCCTAGCCTGTAGAGTGCAAAACCCCTACTTTATTCCCGCTGCCCTTTCTTTTGTCTCCATTGTCGCACGCTCAGTCTCCTTCTACCGTGCTCTCCTATGTGTCCGGCCCTATATAACATTCTGATATAAATTGTATCAAATTCTGATCTAAATAGGTTAACATTCTGATATAATTAGTATAACATTCTCGCTGGTACAAAGACAAAATTATTTAAATTTTAGAAAAGGCTTAGAGATACTATTTTGGATATAATTAACATTACATAACAATTATAATTTAATATAGTGCAATTACGTTCAACCCGCTAGTATAAAAGTGGCAGCAACTGAAAATTAAGTGATATGGGGGTCAACATACTACTTGATACTACACAGTAACAACACTGCCCGTGTAATTTCTGCTTCTGTCACTAGGTGGCAGCATCGTCCAGCATATAATCGACTGTAATGCCGGTTTCTACCGCGAGGTAACAGCATCGTCCAGTCATGTAATCACTGATCTCTATAATATAATATAATAGATTATATTATAGAGATCAGTGCATGTAATCTATTGTAATGCCTGCTTCTGCCACGAGGTAGCAGCATCGTCCAGTCATGTAATCGATCGCGAATACGCGCGCGCGCGGACTTTTAACTGGAGTTGTTCATCATCTGGGTGCACTTGTGTGTTGCAGAGGAGCATTTGAACGGCATTTACAGGAAATTATCAACAATAATTGCATTTAATATGGTCAGGAGGTATCTCAGCATAGGTTTTTTTGTGATGAAAACCCTTCCTTTTGTCTTCATTGTCGCACGCTCAGCCTCCTTCTCCTTCCATCGCCCTTCGACTGTCTTCCCTGCCACCTTTCCTCAGTTTACCACCCCTCTCTCCCTCAGCAAGCTATATTGCCATATTTTTTTTGGTCGTACGGCACGTCTAAAATGGTGCTCGCGCATGCGCAATATCTCCCGAGAAGAAGAATATTTTGCAAACATTATAAATTTAAAATGAAGAGGGGTTATCCTAGCATAGATTTATGTGATAAAATTTTATCAGTAGACCTCATTTCAGAAATAGGAAGCAGACCTTGCATGTAAGGTTCCCGCTGCATATACCAGTCAGTATATAACCTGGCTGCATTACTGTTTTAACGCATGTGCAATATCTCACCAGAGGAGTTTTACGGGCCGGAATAAAGTAGGAGTTTTGCACCCTACAGGCTAGGGCGCCTTCCTATCTTGTAATAAATTCTTATTAGTAGACCTGTGTTTATGAAACCTATGTTGAGATATCCTCTGAGCATATTAAATAAATTTTCATTACAAAATATAACTCCTCTGGTGAGATATTGCGCATGTGCTAAAACAGTAACGCAGCCAGGTTATATACTGACTGGTATATGCAGCGGGAACCTTACATGCAAGGTCTGCTTCCTATTTTTGAAATGAGGTCTACTGATAAAATTTTATCACATAAATCTATGTTAGGATAACCCCTCTTTATTTTAAATTCATAATGTTTGCAAAATATTTTTCTTCTCGGGAGATATTGCGCATGCGCGAGCACCATTTTAGACGTGCAGTACGGCCAAAAGAAAAGTATGGCAATATAGCTTGCTGAGGGAGAGAGGGGTGGGAAACTGAGGAAATGTAGCAGGAAAGACAGTCAAACGGCGATGGAAGGTGAAGGAGGCTGAGCGTGCGACAATGAAGACAAAAGGAAGGGCGGGCGGGAATAAAGTAGAAGTTTTGCACCCTACAGGCTAGGGCGTCTTCCTAACTATAAACACAGGTCTACTGATAAGAATTTATTACAGAAACCTATGTTGAGATATCCTCTTAGCATATTAAATAAATTTTCATCACAAAATATAACTCCTCTGGTGAGATATTGCGCATGCGTTAAAACAGTAACGCAACCAGGTTATATACCGACTGGTATATGCAGCGGAAACCTTACATGCAAGATCTGTTTTCCTATTTCTGAAATGAGGTCTACTGATAAAATTTTATTACATAAATCTATGCTAGGATAACCCCTCTTTATTTTAAATTTATAATGTTTGCAAAATATTTTTCTTCTCGGGAGATATTGCGCATGCGCGAGCACCATTTCAGGCATGCAGTACGGCCAAAAGAAAAGTATGTAAATATAGCTTGCTGGGGAAACTGAGGAAAGGTGGCAGGGAAAACAGTCGAGGGGCGATGGAAGGAGAAGGAGGCTGAGCGTGCGACAATGGAGACAAGAGGAAGGGCGGGCGGGAATAAAGTAAGAGTTTTGCACCCTACAGGCTAGGGCGCTCTCCTAACTATAAAGAACGATCTACTGATAAGAATTTATTACAGAAACCTATGTGCAGATATCCCCTGACCATATTAAATGCATTTTCATCACAAAATATAACTCCTCTGGTGAGATATTGCGCATGCTATTAAAACAGTAACGCAGCCAGGTTATAAACTGATTGGTATATGCAGCGGGAACCTTACATGCAAGGTCTGCTTCCTATTTCTGAAATGAGGTCTGCTGATAACATTTTATTACATAAATCTATGCTAGGATAACCCCTCTTCATTTTAAATTCATAATGTTTGCAAAATATTCTTCTTCTCGGGAGATATTGCGCATGCGCCTGCACCGTTTCAGACGTGCAGTACGCACAAAGAAAAAATACGTAATATATGGCTTGCTGAGGGAGAGAGAGGTGGGAAACTGAGGGAAGGTGGCAGGGAAGACAGTCGATGGGTGGTGGAAGGAGAAGGAGACTGAGCGTGCGACAATGGAGTCAAAAGAAAGGGCGGGCGGGAATAAAGTAGGAGTTTTGCACCCTACAGGGCCCAGGCTAGGGCGCTCTCCTAACTATAAACACAGGTCTACTGATAAGAATTTATTACAGAAACCTATGTTGAGATATCCCCCGACCATATTAAATGCATTTTCATGACAAAATATAACTCCTCTGGTGAGATATTGCGCATGCGCTAAAACAGTAATATGTTTTATGAAACAGCACCATATTATATGCACTGGCGTAGCTAAGGGGGGGCACAAGGTGGCCATGGCCCCCCCTGTTGATTGGCAAACAAAACAAAATATATTTGTTTTCCTTGCCTCTCACGCGTCTTCACAGGACTGGCCACAATTCCTGTTACTTCTGCATCTGCTGAACGAACATTCTCTAAAATGAGCATTGCTCTCTCTCGCTCCTCTCTCTCTGCGGCTCTCTCTCTCTCATCTCGTTCTCTCTCTCTCTTCTCTCTCTCTCTCTCTCTCTCATATCTCTTCCTCTCCTTGCTCTCTCTCTCTCTCCTCTTCTCTCTCTCTCTCTCTCTTACTCTCTCATCTCTCTCTCTCTCTATCTCTCTCTCTCTTGCTCTGCTTCTCTACTCTCCTCTCTCTCTCTGCCACCTCTCTCTCTCTCCTCGCTCTCCTTCTCTCTCTCTCTCTCTCTCGTCTTCTCTCTCTCTTGACTCCTTGCTCTCTCTCTCTCTTCCTCTCTCCTCCCACCTCTCTCTCTCTCGCTCTCCATTTCTCTCTCTCTTCCTCTCTCTCTCTCTCCTCTCTCTCTATCTCTAATCTGCTCTCTCTTGCTCTACTCTCTCTCTCTCCCACCATCTCTCATGCTTTCTCTCGCTCTCCTCTCTCTCTCTAATCTTCTACTCTCTCTTCCTGCTCTCTATCTCTATCTCTCTTCTTGCTCTCTCTCTCTCTCTCTCCCTCCCACCTCTCTCTCTCGCTCTCTTCTTTCTCTCGTCTCTCTCTCTGCTCATCTCTCTCTCTCTATTCTCTATCTCTCTCTCTGCTCCTCTCCGTCTCTCTTCTCCTGCCCACCGTCTCGCTCTCCGCTCTCTCTCTCTCTCTCTCTCTCTCTCTCTCTCTCTCTCTCTATCGCTCTGCTCTTCGTGCTGCTCCCTCTCTACTCTCTCCATCTCACCTAAAGTTAAGCAAGTAAACTACAAGGACTGGCAACGATGCAACGGAGTTAACATCACGCAAGATTCCATGCAAAACATTCATGTCTGGCATGGTGTAAGCCAAGCAATTGGAAACACAGGGGGGCCAAGGGCGAGGGAGGGCAATTTCTCAAACGGGGAGGTGTTTCCCCTCCACAGTAAGGTAAATTTTGAAACATAGTGCAATCAAAAATGGCATTTTGCGCATTCATTTCATTATTAGGTATAGGTAGATAGTGGTACCTGGACCATCGCATTAAGGGCCCTTACTCTCTTAATTTTGTACTCCGATCAAAGGGGTCAGCCTCCCTTGTGCCCCCCCAACCGCTTAAGCTACGCCTATGTCCTCATTCAAGCACTGACGAATATTGAATTAGTTTGAATGTTGTGTTGTTAGCAGTACCATGCAATGTGCCAATTTATCCGTCATAAACGTTTCAAAGTTCCGCTCATATAAAATTAA